ACTAGATATAGTCGGGCTCGCCTCGACGCACGGCTTGGGCTCTGGAACAAGTCTCCTCGAAGGGGGCTGGACCCTCTTCCACTCTGGAGTTGCTCACGGGGAGAGGCGCCGAGCTGGGGTGGGCATACTTATTGCTGGCTGATCTGGAGAGATTCTGTAAAGAGGAATGGACTCAGATGCCCTGCTCTGTATTCTCCAACCTTATAAAATGTTATAGGAGAAGACTCAGTGCTGTTATACTGACAAAGGGAGGTTATACCAAGTATTAAAAGCAGGGGTGTCAATAATCGTGGCACATTTTTTTATTATTATTATTTGATGAAGGATTTGTTCTTCCTTCAAAAAATTTATTTTAAGGAAAGGTTGAATTTTTCTCAATTTTTCAGTGTGATTTTATCTAACCCTTTTTACAAATCCTTACATGGGGTGCCAATAATTGTGTTCTCCCCGTGTCGTTGTGGGGTTTCCTCCGGGCACTCCGGTTTCCCCCCACAGTCCAAAGACATGCTGAGGCTAATTGGAGTTACTCGATTGCCCGTAGGTGTGCTTGTGTGAGTGAATGGTGTGTGAGTGTGCCCTGCGATGGGCTGGCCCCCTGTTCAGGGTTGTTCCCCGCCTCGTGCCCATTGCTTCCGGGATGGGCTCCGGACCCCCCGCGACCCAGTAGGATAAGCGGGTTGGAAAATGGATGGATGGATGGATACATATACACACACACACATTTTTTTTGAGTGTCATTGTATGAAATGTGCCCACTGTTAGACCCATGTATCATCAGGTTTGCATGTAGAGAAATGTAAAACAATGAGCAGAATGAACTATCTTGCAGTGAGTATGAGTCAAGGAGTTCAACGCAAGTCCAGGAAGATGTCAGTCACAGGAGAGCTGCAGGTACAATCCCTACTGGTATGTGTTATCCATGAAAACACTGTGGTTCTGAGATGTTTTGCTTTGAGTCTCTTCAGTTGTTCCAGATGCTGGATGAAAAATAACATTAACTAACTGCAGACTACGACAGTTAATGATGCAGCATTTCCAAATGGAAGGAGATTTTGTTATTTGGGAGGACACAACACATTCACTTAAATACGAAGAACTATGTCCTGGAGAATGAACCCCAAATGAATGAATTCAAATTCAATATTTGGGGTGGGGGATTATGTCCCATCCCCCCTGCCCCCCAGTTCATACACCTGAACATTTTCCAAATGTCATAACGTAAAACTTATACAGATCGAACAACTAAATGTAACCTCGTTGCTGCATCTCCCCCAAGCAAACTCCGTCTGTCTGAAGTTTGACCGGACCCGCTGCCCCTCCTCGTCTGGCCGATCCAGGAGTTCTGAGGTGAGGCCTGGTACCAGGGTGCCTGTGTTCTGTGTAAAATACTGAACCATAAAAATTGCCGCATATTCATATGTTGTTTGTTGCTTAGTTAATTTTTAAGTAAAATGAAGACAATGCAAGTGCTGCTTTGCCAGCTTTAACCCTTAAAACATAATTATGTAATATTTGTGTTGCAATGTGTGTTCCCTATTTTTTCCACTTCGGCATGAATGCATTTGTGCTAATAAAGCAATGAAATTAATTACCAAAATTATTGGTGCATCGCTGCGGTATTCAGATCGGTATCGGCAACGATTCATACCAATTTGACGGATCGGGAATCAGTCATAAAACAGAGCTCATATTTATTGTTAAATCGATTTGTACAATAAATCAAACGACAGTTGTTTCCCATTTAAAATGAATGCAGCATTCAAGCTGAACGCTAATGCTACTACTCAGTTCTTTTGGCCACTCAGTGGGCGTGAGCACAGTGACTTCCGCCTGCGGTGACGTCATACGCATACCCTTTGCAGCACGAGGGGCGTAAGAACATCAGAAGTATTTTGTACATTTAACGACTAGTAGTACAGCGATTTGAAATATTTGTAAAAACAAAGTTTTGAGAGATGTGAATAGCGTTTAGTGGAAAATCCCACTAAACAAAGCGAGACAACGCGAGTAATATGGGAAAAAAAAAGCAATGGATGATTTGGGAGTCGCTAGCTTCCGCTGTTTGCACACTCGCTATAGCTTGTGATACTCGAGGGGCTGATTGCCAGTGGGATCATTGTGGGGCATTTTAAACATTTGCCACTTGTCAATATTGTAACAGTGGGTCAATGAGCCATGCTTGCAATAATTAGCTAGCAGAGTCAGTTCGGGGTATAATCACGAGATGGGGTTTATTATACCCGTACCACTTCAAACAACGCACTTGCACTGCCCACCGTGCTCGTCGCCCCGCTTATTCCTCCACACGGTGGGCGCGCACACATACACACACTACGTACAACGAAGAACATTATCCACTATACATGACATAACACACAGCACATATATTATAACGACACGAGTGATTACTGGAAGTATTTACAGCTTGAATCTATATCTATGATAACACCTTACCAGAGCCAAATGTTTGTATAATGCAAAAGAAATGTAATTGTATGTTTGTGTGCAGATAAGTAAACAAATGACTTAATGAAATGAAATATTGTTGCTTACAAGTATAGCAAAGAAAGTTATTTGAGACATTCCATTGCATAGAGACTAGACAAAAGTGGAAGAGAAGCCTCCTTTGGTAGGTGAAAGATCAAAAGTGCAGCAGTTCATAGAACTGAGAGGATAATGAAGGTCCAGTTCTCAGAAATGAGTGTATGTTGAAGGTCACATGACTTGTAGTTAATGTCTATGAAAGAAGCTATGGATGGGTAAGGAAGCCGGAGGGACATCACTGCACTGAGCATGTTGTTTGCAACACTTCCCTCTGCAGATCAAAGAATTTCAGCTAACTAAGTTATAGTGTTTTATTGGACCTGATCAAAGAATTGTCACAATGATGGATGGATGGATGGATGGATGAATACAAACACAAGTGCAAAAACCAAGAGAGTGTTTGAAGTCTGTACATGTATTGCAAATATTTAGAATCCTCTGTAGAGTAAGTACACCCAGCTCAATCCTGACAGACCATGACTGATGTGGGTGCATCTCTCTTTCAGGTCCCAGCATCAAGCGCTAAGCCTCGTGAGAGTGAGAACATGCTGGGGGAAAGTGGGGAAGACAGTGAGGAAGGTACCTCACAGCTCGGAGTACAGTGATGTGACAGTAATGAGGCCCAGGGACTAAGCTGGAACAGCTAATAGGAATTTGCCTGGAATTTGTAGCTCTCCCATTACCCTGACGATTAACGTATTGCCGGCAGTCTGGTAACACTGGTGTCTGTAATAAGCAATGAGGGCAATGGGGTACTGGACCTCTAGGTCCACCAAGGAATAGAGATCCAAACCTGTCCTCTGTTGACTGCAGTTCTGTCGGCCCAGTGACTCTGGGTCTGAAATTACTGAAACTGCTTAGTGACTGAAATCTTTCTGCCTGACAGAGCTCAGCCAGGAAGACCCATTGGCATGCTGGGAAAATCTCCCCATTCTGGACCGGCTTGGCCTTAGCAGGTGTTACTGTTTTGTTAATAAATAATATTTGTCAACAAAGGGCAATGATCAATAAATAATTTAATTCAAGTTATTTATATAGATGATGGTTGCCACCTCAGTCCCATAAAATCCTGGACACCCAGTCATCAACAAAAAATATTGCACATAGTGACACAACTCCATAGGTTTGTTTAGGTCTGTTTGATTGGGAAATTGATATGGACATTGTATTTCCTGGAATTAAATTTTCTTTTTCTAGGACAAACGACCAAAATCTGGAGTGGACCTGGAAAATCCTGGTTGGGTGGCAACTCCAATATAGAGCCGGTGGCCACTTTATTAAGCACATCTAGCTAGTTGTATTGGATAGGACCCACTTTTACCTCAAGCATAAATAAGTTCTCTCATTTTTCATGCACCTGTTGAACCGGGCCATTATTTTTGCGCTTGTGGCCTCCCCATTAGGTTTAATGAGTCTGTTTTCCTTTGATCTCTCTCATTATCACAGTGTTTTCAACCACAGAAATGTGCTGAATTTTTTCGTCACCCCATCTTTTTTTTTTAATTAAAAAAAAAAAAAAAAAACTCCCCCACATTTAGATGAGGCACCTTAGCGGTTCTAATGCTTAATGAAACTGTCACTGCAGCTCTTGACCCTGTGTGCGTGTGTGTTGTGTTTTGTTCAGTTGCAACCACATCATTCAGTATTTGCTGGAATACATAATAACCTTGTTGCTGACTCTATGGTGCCCATCGCAACATAGTTGCCCCGAAGTGATTAGGCAGTTGGTGTACAATGAGAATTTTGTTGTAAAATGCAGCCCAGTCATCACTGCATGGCCCTATCATGCCCTGGTAATGCAGCTCTGCATCACTGCATTGAAGAGAGGCAGGTCAATGGCCCTATCATGCCCTGGCAATGCAGCTCTGCATCACTGCATTGATGAGAGGCAGGTCAATAGCCCTGTCATGCCCTGGTAATGCAGCTCTGTTCACTTCCCTTCATGAAGAATCCCAAGACAGTTACCTTCTTGTTCTCTCTCTAATTTCTAACTTTCTCCGCCTCTCAGTACAGAGATGACAGAGAAGGAAATGGAGGTAAGACTCAAGCCTTCAAGCCTCTGCTCCAGATTTTTCATTATCAAGCTTAATCCGATGCCTCCAGCTCCTGGTTGAATCTCAGCATTTTGCGTTGGCTGTACTGGCGCTCGCCACTGCATCATGCTGTACTTGTTCTGTAGCAGTATTACAATATATAGTATATTTTGTCCCATGCCAATCGTTCAAGTGCTTAGTTCTGTTCCTGGGCTGTTTGTGTGTGAGCTCTTTGGGTTCTGTCAGCATTATGAGAGGTTATGGGCTAGAAAAGAATGGCGAGCGCTTTGCTCCTGGTACATGTAGTGAGTGCTTTGTTCCCAGTAAATGTAGTGAGTGCTTAGCTCACAGTAAATGTAGCGAGCACTTTGCTCCTGGTAAATGTAGCGAGTGCTTTGCTCCCGGTAAATGTAGCGAGCGCTTTGCTCCCAGTAAATGTAGCGAGCGCTTTGCTCCCGGTAAATGTAGCGAGCGCTTTGCACCCGGTAAATGTAGCGAGCGCTTTGCTCCTGGTAAATGTGGTGAGCACTTTGCTCCCAGTAAATGTTTCAAGCAGTTTGCGAGAGAGTGTTTTGCTCCCAGTAAATATAGTGAGCGGTTTGCTTCCAATAAATGTAGTGAGTGTTTTGCACCCGGTAAATGCGGCGAGTGCATTCTGCTATGTGTGCCTTTTGAGAGCCCATTGTCTTGGTCTCCCCACAGAGCACCTTCCTGCAGCTGGCTTCGGCCTTCCGCTGTGACCAGTATACCTTACAGAAGAGATTGCAGGCGGAAGAGCACGCCCGCAATGTGGCCGAGTGGAACGTTCACCTGGAGCTGGAGCAGGGGCGAGATGCCCTCCAGGTACTGGAGTGTGTGTGTCTGTCTGTGTCTGTGTGTGTGTGGAGAGAGAGAGAAACATGATTTTGTTCATGAGAATTTGTTCTGTTTCTGTGTAGTACTTGTCCAAGAATATCCATGAGTTATTTGTGAGATATTTTACATCTTTTGGAGCTTCATTAAGTGTTAATGTGCCTGTGAAGTCCTGTGTGTGTTGTTTTGGTTATATTACATTGTGGGGACCAAATGTCAAAAACTTATCTTGTGGGGGCATTTTTCTGGTTCCCACAATATAAACCTCAAATTTATAAAAAATCAGTGACTGCAATCAAAAACTAAAGATGTCAAAAGTCTTGTATTTTCTTTTGTTACTTATAGTGAAGTTAGGGTTATGCCCATTGAAGTTAATAGATAGTGTCCCCACAATGATAGGAATGTATGAACTGTGTGTGAGTGAGAGAAAATGTGATTCAAGCATCTGTGGGAATGTGAGCAGCTGTGAGTTGTGTGGGTAAGACAGGCAGGCTGAGTTTTGACCTGCCTAACTTGTCCTCAGGCTGCCGTTTGCTCAGAGATCGTCTTCGTCTCATGCTCACGGTCTCTGCGTGTGTGTGTGTGTGTGTGGATTATGTTTATTTTACATTGTGGGGACCAAATGTGGGGGGGGACTATGCCAGTTACCAGTGAGGTAATGAGCCAATATCAAAGATCAAGATGAAGGCTGAGCCAGGCAATTCTAATCGATCAGCATCAGCCACCACAGTCCAATGCAAAGCCCCATCCATTTAATTTCTCTAGTTCACCCAATTTACGTTAGTTGTGCAGATGATAATGTTCTGTCACACGCTGGAGTAAGCCTGAGGCACTTGGCTTGAAACTGCAAAGTATTCAGATGTCAGCTATGTGGGAATTCTGTAAATTGGAAACTGATAGTGATCTAGTAGTATCCTGTCATGTTTGCAGTGCCGTCCTTTGGAGAGGAGGCAGCAACCGCGCGTTGTTTAATACCACAAATCTAATCAGGTGTTTCCAGAAGCATCATAAGGAAGAATACTGCAAAATCGCGAGGCTTACTCAGATGAAGAAGACACCAACTGTATGTATATATGTATATATCGATATTTATAAAAGACTCGCGAAACAGCATATATAAGTATTGAGTGGATTGGATCAGGGTACCAAAAAAGCAGATTAGGGCATTCTTACAAGTTACAGATAGCAAAGTTAAATTACTTCAAAGGAAAAAAAAAGTGGATTGTTTTTTTTAGGGGTACAAGTATGCAGTGCTGGACCTAGGATTCTTCTTAAAAAGTGGCAAAAGTCCGAGGGCCATGTGAAGATGTTAACCAAAAACCCGGCAGTTTGAAACCAAATAGCAAATAAACCAAAGCAAAAGTACAGACAAGAGCAAAGCAAAAATCAGAAATCCAATAAACCAAACAAATCATACACAGTGATATCAATCAAAGAAAAGCAAACCAACAACAATAATCAATGAGCAGAGCTCTCGAGATGTCTTGCTTGCAGCTTTTCACTTCTGGGAGATGGAAGTGACGTATGACGCATACGGTGGGGCAGGGTCTGAACGGAGAGGCAGAGCGAACGATAAATGGAGCTGAACCTAAACATGAAGTAACAGCGGCACGTAACACCCCCCCGCAGGGCAAAGGCTTCCTTTTCTATCGTACTATAGGTCAACTGATGTTTAACAAACTTTTTAGATTTTAGACCAATAAGAAATAGGATGGTCTAAACCTGCATCATCCTCCTGCAGGACAGCGCCGTTCCAGTACCACTAGCATCCACTTCTAATTTGAATGGTTTGCCAAAATTGGGGGTAGCTAAGACGAGGGAACTAGTGAGCAGAGAGCTTGAAGTCGAAGGCAGATTGACAATCAGTGGACCAGGCAAAATGCGCATTCTTTGGGAGCAAATTTGTAAGGGGTAACACTATGTCAGAAAAATTCCAGCAAAAACAACGATAATAACCTGCCATCCCAAGAAAACGTCGGAGGTCTCCCTTAGTTTGCAGAATGGGGAAGGACTTGATGGCTTGGACCTTGGCGTCTACAGGCTTGACCATTCCGTGTCTTACTAGTTTTCCGAGGTATGTGACGGTGCCCTGTCCGAATTCATATTTGTCAAGGTTAAGTATTAACAAAGCCTCTTTCAGCGAGTAAAAACTTGTTCTAATGACGTCACATATTTGTTCCAAGAGTCAGAATGGATAACCACATCATCTAAGTATGCTTCACAGTTTGTAACATCTCCTAATACGTTATGCATTAGCCGTTGGAATGTTGCTGGGGCATTACGTAATCCAAAGGACATGACCGTATACTGCAAGAAGGTGTCTGGCGTAGCAAAAGCGGAGATTTTCAAAGCACGAGGGGTCAACAGTACCTGCTAATATCCTTTTAGGAGGTCGAGCTTTGTTATGAACCGAGCAGAACTAATGCGGTCTACACAATCTAACATCCTGAGAAGCGGAAAACATCAGGTTTGGTTACCGCATTTATAATCCGTGCAGAAACAAAACGTACCATCAGGTTTTGGAACGAGCAAACAGGGTGAGCTACAGGGACTGGAACTGGGAACAGCAAGACCATTTTCCAGCAAGTAATCAGTTTCCTTTTTTAGTAGCGCTCACTTATGAGGACTAACGCAATAGGGGTGCTGTTCAATGGGGACATGATCTCCAACATCAATGTCACGCTCTAAAACAGGGGTCCGCAAAGGTGTGTCAGTGAATAAAGACGGAAATTTACTTATGAGGACTTGAATATCCGATTAGGCGGCCGAGGGTAAGTCAGCAAGCCATCCTGAGTTGGGCAGGCAAGCGATTGGCAAACAATTCCTCCCGAGATATAGCTCATCGAGTTCAAGCGAGTACTCGTGTAAAGGCACATTAACCACAGAAGAGGGGAGCGGAACAGGAGCGGGCGAAGGCGCAGGGTCAGAATGATCAACGTAAGGTTTCAACACGTTCATGTGACAAATACCGGTTTTCTGTTTTTGGTTCGGAGTGTCAATTATATAATCGGTGAGACTTACTTTTTCCTGTACTCTGTAGGGACCTGAAAACCGTGCTTGGAGAGACGAGCCAGGCAGGGGCAAGAGGAACAACATGCAATCTCCCTCCTGGAAAGTTTGTTCCCTTGCTTTCTTATCAAAGTGAGCTTTCATCACCTCCTGTAATGAACTTAACGAGCGTCTGGCCAGTTCCCTGGCTGCACCAAGGCGTTCACGCAGAGACTTCACAAAGCTCAGCACATTCTTAGTCTGAGGAGGTGGTCTCAGGGACAACCACTGCTTCTGCAGTATCTTTAAAGGACTGCGCATGTCATGCCCAAAGACAAGTTCAGCCAGACTGAAACCAGTAAACTCTTGCACAGTGTCCCGAATAACGAACAAAAGCAAAGGTACCCCCTCGTCCCAGTCTTTCCCTGCCCCTAAACAGTAGGTACGCAGCATGACCTTAAAAGATTGGTGGAAACACTGCAGGGCCCGCTGGGACTCCAGGTGATGCTGGATGTTTAGTTTGCATGCCACCTGAGAAAATAGCCGGGAAGTAAAATTTGAACCCTGGTCAGACTTTAGGTAGGACTTTTGCCACACCTTTTGTTTTTAAGCTTCGCAGAGGTATCGCTTTGGGATAACGGGTAGTTGGACCCACGCAATCGATAAAAATGTGCTTGAATGGTTCCCCAGTCGCTGGGATCGGACGCAGGGGAGCAGGGGGAATTGTTTGGTTGAGCTTCTATGGGTTAACACAAACTCATCAGCGAGGGTAGCGGCTTCGCCAAGAGACGTAACTTTCTGTTCATTCAGATATACAACAACATGGTCAGGTACACAATTCTTGAACTCTTCAAGCAAAATCAGCTCCTTGAACTGGTCGAAATTTGTCACACTGCTAGTTGTCCACCACTTATCAAAGAGAAGTGACTTCTCGGATTTACAGAGGTTCCGGAAGTTTTTCCGGTAAGCTTCAGGTACCAATTCGTATTCCCTCAAGACAATAGCCTTTATAACATCATAATCAAGGCTCTGTTCAAATGCAAGAGCCGAACAAACTTCTTGAGCTTTCCCCACAAGCTTGCACTGCAGCAAAAGTGAACATATGTGCCTGGGCCAATTCAAAGTGGTAGCAATGCCATCAAAGATGGGGAAATAGGCATCTACTACATTCTCTCGAAATATGGGCACGAGTCCAATATGGCGACTGGCATCGAATCCAATATTCTCACTCTCAAGGGATCAGGGTGGAACTGTCAGAGATCGAGGGCTAGGATGCGAAGCATCGTCCAGTGGGGTAGCACCGGCACGAGCTAAGGAAGCGGCGGAACGAGTAGTACCAAGGGGCGAACTTACCTTGCGAGGCTGAGGAATGGGCTGTAGCTGGCCTACCCTTGCCTTTTTCAGGGCCTCCACCCTATCCACTTCTATCTCCAAAGCCCTTACCCAAAGGAGTTGGGCTTGGTAATCCTGGTGCGTAGACGTTAACCAAAACCGGGCGAGAGTTCGAAACCAAATAGCAAATAAACCAAAGCGAAAGTACAGACAAGGGCAAAGCGAAATTCAGAAATCCAATTAACGAAATAAATGATACACAGTGGTATCAATCAAAGAAAAGCAAACTCTCAAGACATCTTGCATCCTGCCTCTTAATCTTCAACTCAAGTTCCTTAAACCGAATAGTCAGGAGGAGGACCTCCTTGGGCCAGCCGGGATCCCTGGGATCCATGCGTAGCTAGGATTCCGGGCCTCTGGCTTCTGCCGTCGTAGGTGACCGGATCGGTGCAACACCCGAGAGATCACCAGGCTCTGGCGGGATTCCTTGCGTGACCAATTCGTCCTGCAGGACCTGCTTAATTTCCCGTTTTGAGGCATCGACAGGGATCACCACGTTAAAGAAGCCTGCAATGGCCACCAGGTCAGCCTTCCTATAACTATCAAACTGCTCCTGTGTGGTGCACAGGGTAAACTCAAGCAAGTTGAATGTAGCCATGCTAATCCCAATTACCAGGTGTTTCCCCACCAAAATGAATCCACCAAACAAAGTTGAAAAAGGCACAAAGACTGGGTGACACAGACAAAAAAGAGGGACGATCCAACCAAGCTTTAGTAATTCTATCCTGGACGAGCCCCCAATTTCTGTTATGAGCCCCAGTCTAGGGTTGGGGCATAACAGAATGAAAGGGGAAGTAGAGTAAGGGAAGAACAGGGTGTGATGGACAAGGGAACACACATGGAGAAAGGGATATTATTTTTATATTTTTCCGTTTTTCTTGACACACCACAGACACAGAACAAATAAACCCAGTTGAAAAGGACTCAGGAGTGACTACAGCCAAAACAATAAACAAAACCCAGCTTCCGAACACATCCCAAAGCTAAACTTACTTAAGTGCAAAGAAAATAAAAACAAAATGACAAATTCTCCACCAAACTCCCTATCCAAACAACAGCATACAACATATGTCCGCAAAACAAAATGGCAGTCATTCCCTACACACCTGACACAGATCAAAGCAGCGAAAGTCACCGGGGCATGTGTAGACGTTAACCAAAACCGGGCGAGAGTTCGAAACCAAATAGCAAATAAACCAAAGCGAAAGTACAGACAAGGGCAAAGTGAAAATCAGAAATCCAATTAACTAAACAAATGATACAGAGTGATATCAATCAAAGAAAAGCAAACCAACAACAATAATCGATAAGCAGAGCTCTCGAGATGTCTTGCTTGCGGCTTTTCACTTCTGGGATACGGAAGTGACATATGACGCATAAAGCGAGACAGGGCGGGGTCTGGATGGGGAGGCGGAGCGAACGATGAATGGAGTGGAGGACTGTGGGCAGAGCTGAACCTAAACATGAAGTAACCGTTCTAATAGAACATTTGATGTTAAATTTAGCCAAAGCATCTATTCAAGGCATTGTGGACCCCGATAATCACTGCCTGTAGCTATAATTATTAGGGGTGTAACAATACATCGATTTGTATCGATATATCGATTCAACAGCAAATGATCCGATGCATCGATGTGACCGCATAAATATCGATACATGCGTTTTTATTTTCTGGCCTGTTCCAGTATTGTTTTCATGATCCACGCCGATGTATACATGGTCTACACCAGGGGTGCCCAATACATCGATCGCGATCTACTGGTCAATCGCAAAGGTAGTGTGGGCAGATCGTAAAAAATAGAGGATGGATGACGCGTTCAACCGCGGTAACTGCTGCAAGCTACCGAGTCGCCTAGTTAGCCTCCAGTTTATTTCTACTAAACTTAAGAAAGGGTATAGAAATGAATAGGGGAGCTGGACCAAGTAAGAAGCCTCTAGCACACGAGAGGGTCATACGAGCAGGTCATGACAGTTATGGACATACTTTTTGTTACACTTTTGTATTTGTCTGGAGAAGACTTGATTCAAAATAAAAATTATTCACCATGTTAATCTACATCCATCCAAAGTTTTTATTTTTACCTTATTGCACTTTATTTTGCTTGATTTATGGGACATACTTGACTACACTAGATTTTGTTTACAGTTCCCAATAAAATATGATAAAATGCTCATTATATTTGCCTTTTTTAATCCATTGAAATGTAAAGGATTGTGTGAAATTTCATCATTTCAACTACTATCCCCAGTATCGAGCTGAAATGTATCGTATCGCATCATATCGTGGCAATTTCTGAGGAAAATAAGGTATCGAACTGTTGGCTTAAAGAATCGATACTGTATCATATCGCGAGGAAAGCTGTGATTTACACCCCTAATAATTATCATCCTTGCCTGTGTGACCCCATCTGTGTGAGCAGGCACTGAAGGCCTTGTGTCTGGACACCAAGAGGAGCAAAATCCTTCAGAGGCTTGAGCTCTGCCTGGATGTCCTGGCTGGCTCCGTGCAGCGTATCACCAACACGGCAGAGGTGCTGGGTGCTGTGCATCAGGTACCTGTTGGAGTGTGTGTGCCAGACAGGCTCATCGTGTGCATGAGGGTGACTGCAGCTCACATTTCGGAGAGCTTCAATATCTCAGGTGATTTGGTTTAGACATTAATAGGAGGCACAGGAGCTTCATTTAAGAGGAAACCAGGAAAATAGTGTCCTCTACAGGACTGATAAAGTGTTAATTTGTACCGTATGTGGGGTAGAATGGGGGGGGGGGTTACTGTTTGTCAAGTGTGTCGTCCCCCTGCATGTCCTTGCAACCCCGACCAGAGTAAGCGCTCAGAAGTTGGATGGACGTTATTCTTAAGGCGTTATTTTATATTCAGATAAAAACAGCTGTTTCTCCATTGCCAATGTTTTGTGTTCAAATTAGTGATTTGCACTACTGAATGTTAGCGTTGTGTGACATGACTGTATAGTGTGCCAAATGCATTCGAACCTGGAACCCATGTTCCAGGAGGCTCGTGTGAGCCACGCGGTGCAACTCATGATGGCCCATGTGGAGAAGCTGCAGTGGCGGCATGTCAGGGACTATGCTGAGCTGGAGGAGGCAAAGAGGATGGTGCAGAGGAGCAACTGTTCTCGGCAACTTAGCGATCCCAGGGGTGAGTGCTGCCACCCAGTGGTCTTCATGGCTCATTGCGGGCAATTGCTAGATGCCTGTAAATGTGCAGCAGGGACAAAAATTGTCTTAATCCACAGTTAAATGAATTTTGGAGGGTGTTGTTATACCACAGAGGACCTTGTGAAATCATAGGTTTTAATGTGAGGATGTGATTCTGCTAACGAATAAGGTGTGAGAACTGCTCCAATCTCACGCTTGATGATCCTCACGATCTCTTTCTAGATGAGGGTGAAATGAGGCAGAAGGTCATTAGGTCAGGCCAGGTAACAGTTCCCCTTAACAGAAGCTTATTCTCACATTGATGCAATGTGCTTATTATTGATTGTGCTGCACATTATAATCGGCATCTTTCCTGTTTCTTGTTTCTCAAGCTCAGCACTCGGCGCAGAGTGAGTGTTGCTGTCATACCCACTAGTCAGGTATGGTCTCTGTTATGGTGCTTTTGGCCTAGTCACAAAAAAAATGAAAGTCAATGGATGCACATACCTTAGAAGGTACTGGGAGGCTCACACACATCCCCATTTCACCCACAGACTCGGAGTGAAATACAAACTTTGCCAATGAACCCCAAGGCTAACTGCCAATTGGACAGCAGGTACCAGTGACTTCGAAAGTGAAGCATTCTGATTGGCTAAATGAGCCTGACACATCTGATTGGCCACAACATTAAAATAAAACATTTCATTAGTTATTACAAATATTAACATTAATAGACATTCCCTTTTTATAGCACCATCAAAAATCTAATAACTATCTGATTTAGCCGCAAGAAAAAGCTGAATGGAATGGACAGGGCAGACCTAGGAAGGGGTAACACTTTTGACCTCGGTATTTTAAAAATCATGGCTACACTCCTGATTGCAGCTTACCTTGGCTTATAGTGCACAACCTCATACGTAAATTAAATTCCACAATATATATATATATATATATACACTCACCTAAAGGATTATTAGGAACACCTGTTCAATTTCTCATTAATGCATTTATCTAATCAACCAATCACATGGCAGTTGCTTCAATGCATTTAGGGGTGTGGTCCTGGTCAAGACAATCTC